TGCAGTCTTATAGAAACTTTTGTTATCAATTGTCTTTAGCGATTCAATGATAGTGGGTAAATCAACTATCTTAGCATGCATCAACCGATGATCAAATCGCACTTCACCATGCCTCATATCGTTTTCTATCTGAATATTCAAACGATTTTTGAGATTTTCACCCGACTTGAGCACCTCTCTAAGTAACTTTGCTGGCTCTTCGGGAAGCCTGAGTATAAATTGCGATTCAAGTTCAGTAGGATATTCTGGTTCTCTTTTTTCTTTATTCATTGTGAAAATTCAAATCGATTATCACGTTCAAAGAGTATGCCAATTATACCAAACTATACTAAAATGAAACTATGCAACGACACAAATTGACTTAATTAAAAAATGAACAATATTTTCGAAGATGTATTGTATTGTAATTGTAGAACCATTGGTATTGTAGTTTCGGTTTATAGGTTTATACAATGTACTCTGTGACTCCCACAAACTAAACTCACTCAAAGAATCAAACTATCGATGCTATCGATCCCTACAAACCAAAGAGTATAGTAACTGTTTAGCTTTTCTTCTATAAAGGAACCACAAACTAATAAGTGCTATTGAATCTAACAGTTATATAGCTTGCTACATAAATGAGTAAATACTTGTGGTGCTAGCGCAATCGATCTCCCGATAATATTAAGTTATATTAACTAGCTTGCTACATATTTACTTATCTATGATATGATATTAACCATAGACTTAGAATATACTGGCGTATAGACCGACATAGCGTGCAAGGAAGAAGAAAATACCTTATGACAAAAATGCAAGATAGAAAAGGCAACCAAATTTCATGACTGTAACTGACTGTAACCAATTTTGAATGACTGGTTGGCACAATTCGGCACGCAATAAATAAACTCCTAGATATTTCGTAATTTTTTAGAGTGTAACAGTGGTTATTTTTAGTAAGTAACTTTTTTCCACAATGGTTACTTGTCCTGTAAGTGAATGTGGTGCTAATAATAGAAATAATCCTGATGATTGCACATTTCACAGGTAAATTCTCAAGACGTCATCAATGTTATGACGCGTTTATTTTTGGTTAAAATTTATGTTATTTACTGTTTAGAATATAGAATGTTTTCAATGATTTTGTTAATTTTGATATTGTGCAAAGAAAAAAGTCACGTTGTTGATAATTTGCATGAATTTGGTAAATATATCTTTGTACAAAATATTTTACGTGTACGCTATTGATTGACTCAACTATATCAAAATTAATGTCGATATTTATCTTGAATGCTTATATTGAATCGATAGACTTTCCCACACAACAAGAAAATAAATCCTCGGTTTGCGTTCTATAAATGTAATTTTATTTTGCCGTTTGTGAAACAGGTTCCCTCCGGATTCTATAATCGGAAAAAATGGTTAAGGTTAATAATTGGATGGGTTGGTTGGAATCCAAAGAAAACTCAACAATTTGCAGCAAATATTTACTTAAAAAGTATAAAAGAAAAAGTAGAATAAAACAATTTTATTAAATCATCATTTATCATGGTCATTTCTACATTATTTGTACCAGTTAGTATAATATTGTTATAATAAGACTTCAAAACTTTAGATAAAAATAGAGACGGTAACTTTCGAAACTTAAGATAAAAATGTAGACAGCTTTTTATACATTATAAAACTATTATTTTATTATTATTATTATCTTATTTAAGCCATTATAAACCTAACTAAGTATCTATTTATCAACCAAAAATATGTAAAACCTTACTTCACCACCCGCACATCACTGTCACATTAGTGCAATATTCATAGCATCACGCAATTTTCTCCAAGGGGTTGCGTGGAGCTTTGGATTATATTTCCAAGTTACAATGATAAAAAATTTAGCGTAGTTAGATATAATATATCTAACTACGCTCTTGGAGCGTCACGCGGTTCAATATGTCAGGACAGTATAAATTACATAGTATTTGATACTCACAACGCTCGATGCCCGATTCATGGTTGAGGGCCGATGACATACAGCGTTAGTTGTAAACAAGAGGAACTCGTTGTTAAGTAATAGCTGCTAAATATAACAAAAATATTAAAAATGCACAGCAAAATGATAATTTAAATAAATGTAATTTGATTATATAACAAATGCTAGTAACCACTAACCACAAAATAGGCTTATAAGGAAGATAAATATTAAAAAAATAACCTACTCGCTTCAGTTGTGCGACAAACACTGAGCATGTTTCATATGGAATTTACAAATGTGTGTTGTGGCTCATTCAAAATCTATGGAAGATTTGCGTTTGGAGCTGCATCATTCGGGATTCCGAACGCACAGGCGGTCATACAGGGTCATACAGAACCTCAACGATGAGAAAATTCCATACGTGTGTGGCGGGTCCTTGATTTTATACAGACTTGCTGCGTTCGGAATTCCGTATGTATATGGCCGACTTAAATGTAGTACATAGAATAATTACCAAATCATCTTTTATTTCACTGTCTTGCTCCTTAGATTTATCTTTATCTTGAGACACAGGAGGTGCATAGGAACAATGGAGAAACACCAGTAGACAGATTATACTTGTTTTCAGCTTCATAGTGATCTATAATAAATGAAAGAAATTCCATAAAAAGTACTGCTTATTTTGCGATTTTATTTATACACAAGTAAAACAGTAGTAAGTAGCTATCGAAAACGCTATTTGAAACATTAATTATATTAAAAATCAAATACCTACAAATAGTTTAATGTCATACATATTACTATAGTACTTGGTCATATTAGCTATCACCAACGCTGTTTCTTCTGCATATCAATGTTGCATGATATGTTGCTAACTGGTAACATTCATTGCTATGCGGATGACAGCACTGGTGTAGCTTTATACACCGGCCGTGCCAATATTTCTCGGGAAAATGTCGCTGAGTACCGGAACAAACTTGTGTATGAAGTCGAGTCTTTGCTGAACAAAGTCTCGAATTGGGGGCGACTAAATCTAGTCCAGTTCAATCCCCAGAAGACACAAGTTTGCGCGTTTACCGCTAAAAACTCTCCCCTTGCTGTCTCAGCTAGTATCGGAATCCTCGGCGTCGACATATCGAATAGTGTGCAGTTTTGTGGTCACTTGGAAGGTAAGGCTAAATTGGCCTCTAAAAAGCTTGGCGTGCTCAGCAGAGCGAGCCAGTATTTCATGCCGGCACATCGCTTGCAACTTTACAAAGCGCAAGTTCGGCCACACATGGAATACTGTTCTCATCTCTGGGCCGGGGCACCCCAGAGCCAGCTCCTTCCACTTAACCGCATCCAGCGCAGAGCGGTTCGAATTGTTGAGGACCGAGTTCTTTCTGATCGGCTCGATACACTGGCACTGCGTAGGGCTGTTGCATCCCTTTGCATTTTCTATCGAATTTACCACGGGGAGTGCTATGAGGAATTATTCGGATTAATTCCAGCCGCCAAATTTCACGAACGCACATCGCGTCTAAATTCACGATACCATCCTCACCATCTGGATGCTTGGCGGTCCGTTTGAACGTTTTACTAGGAGTTGTCTTCTGTTGTCTTCAAACTAGATAAAAGAGCCTTCAACATGAGTATGTAATACTCATACTGTACACTCTATCAATATGCAATATCAGTTTCCTATGTAGTACTGCAATACTACATTAAGAACTAAGTATGTGCCTACTTATGGCAAAAAATGCATTTTCTTTGTTTCTGATAACAAAGATGATTATAAATTTCATACATAGTTTAAAAAGACATCTTTTATGGCATCTGTTGTTTATATCTGTATTTTTACTTGGTATAGAGATTAAAATCTAGGGATTTTTACTTAAGTTACAACTAACACCATAATATGGATCTTTTTTATTTATTCTATCAACTATTTTTATTTGCTCTACATTGATAAGAATAGGTTCTTTCATACTGAAAATACCCTGAAAAAAATTAAAAATACTGTCATTTTATATTTTTACAATTGCGTTTTAAGCAACTATTTAAATTTAACAACATAATATTTATGTAGCAACTAGGTAATATTAGATGACAATTACTATAATATGAGAAAATGTTGACTGTTATATGTATATCTTTAAATATTCATTATTGTTTAATCTAATGTATGTTGTTCCTCTTGATTTCATATGCATAAAAATACTGGTACATAATAGTATTTATAATAGTACCTTCCTGTCTAAACTATCTTTTACTATGTACTACGTTATTACAGCCCATCACAAGTTCACTGTTTAACATAGGCCTGTGGCCTGTGGCCACATGTGTTGTGGTGGTGTAAGAATATCCATTACCCCCATATCACCCATTGGTATCATAAGACGTGACAAAGGGAAACAAGCCAGAAGAAGGACAGGATACTATCTTTATGATAACAGCCAAATCATAATGAAAAAGTTGTAGTTTCTAACACTTAACATGAGTGGCAACTGCAACAATATACTGTATGATGATGAAACATACAAAGTTGTCACTCATGTCAATTAAAATTCTTTTTTAAAGGCAAAGCTAAATAAATATTTATTTGTACATTTTTAAATAACAAAGTAAAACATTTTTAAATAATAAAAATATAATTTAACTTAAAAACATAAAATATTTTTGATTCAGAGCACTAAAATTCAATGCTGCTAATACTTTCGGGGACCTGGTAGATAGGAACTTTAATTTGTATGTTCTAAGTACAAGTTTACACAAGATTTTCAAAACAACTCACAAGCTCAAAGATTATTAGATTCTTTTTAACTTTTTAAATGCTAATAATAAGTTTTGCATGAAAAAAGAAAACTAAATGGTAAAGAAGGATAGAGGACTGGTTCTTTTCTCGCTTAATGGCTAAGTAAAGCCATTCTGTGAGGAAACACAGCCAGCTTTCTTGGCACAATATCACGGGTAGTAGGACTGTATGACAATTAAAATTTTTAGTTTTAGTTATTCTTTAGTATAGTTTTTTTATATTGTGTGTAACCTTTTAGAAAGAAAAACTATAAAATTAAATATCTTCAGAGTTCTGAAGAGTTAGTAAGCCTTGGTATTCCATATCTTTGTACATTATATCCTGGTTTAAAGTGTGTAATATATCTTGGAATCTCTGTCTTAATGCCAAATTCTCCATTCCTGCAATTTCATGTTGAGTTCTTTGCCGGCGTTGCTTTAATTCTTCCAGTTCTGTTCGCAATTGGTCTATTCTGAATTGCATATTATCCTTAGACATATCTCGTGATTGATAATCACCATCATCTTCAGAAGACAGACCTCCGCTTTTAGATACCACAGAAACTGCAGGAGTAGTAGCACGACTATGGCTCCTAGATCTCTTAGAGATTTGACCTCCTTGGAACATTTGTGACTCAAACTGAACTGGCAAATCTCTCTTTGAATGCATGTCTCCCATAGCATGCATTGAATTTGTATCAGACAAACGGCTATCACATGGTGATAAGCGGCTATCTTCCATCTCAACGTTAATGTTATCATCGTCACTATCACTTACAGCACCTCCAAATATATCAACAACATTAGAAGATTCTGGATTGGTAGCATCAGAAGTTACAGATTCTCTTTTAGAACTTCGCTCAGCCTTGGATTTGCGATCAGGTTTAGAATGTGAAGATGAACTAGCTTCAGGCTTAGGATGGTCATCTTCCTCTTGCACAATTTCCCATGATATACTAACAGCTTCATTATCAGCTCGAAGAAGTCTCTTTAATTCCTTTTCTATTTCTGGACCTTCCACACACTTTTTCTTTAAAGTTTTCCGGAAACGTCTCTTTCGCACATTTTTAGTAGGTGGAGTAATACCATGGGGCCATAAAAACTTTTTATCCACTTTATATGGGTCTTTTTTCTTATTTTTTGCAGGAGACTCCTCTTCTATAGAAGGAGTATCAGGTTCATCTTTACATATCATCATTTGACAAATATCTGCAGTCTTATAGAAACTTTTGTTATCAATTGTCTTTAGCGATTCAATGATAGTGGGTAAATCAACTATCTTAGCATGCATCAACCGATGATCAAATCGCACTTCACCATGCCTCATATCGTTTTCTATCTGAATATTCAAACGATTTTTGAGATTTTCACCCGACTTGAGCACCTCTCTAAGTAACTTTGCTGGCTCTTCGGGAAGCCTGAGTATAAATTGCGATTCAAGTTCAGTAGGATATTCTGGTTCTCTTTTTTCTTTATTCATTGTGAAAATTCAAATCGATTATCACGTTCAAAGAGTATGCCAATTATACCAAACTATACTAAAATGAAACTATGCAACTACACAAATTGACTTAATTAAAAAATGAACAATATTTTCGAAGATGTATTGTATTGTAATTGTAGAACCATTGGTATTGTAGTTTCGGTTTATAGGTTTATACAATGGTACTCTGTGACTCCCACAAACTAAACTCACTCAAAGAATCAAACTATCGATGCTATCGATCCCTACAAACCAAAGAGTATAGTAACTGTTTAGCTTTTCTTCTATAAAGGAACCACAAACTAATAAGTGCTATTGAATCTAACAGTTATATAGCTTGCTACATAAATGAGTAAATACTTGTGGTGCTAGCGCAATCGATCTCCCGATAATATTAAGTTATATTAACTAGCTTGCTACATATTTACTTATCTATGATATGATATTAACCCGTAGATAGAGGATTGACTAGATAAAGCATTCGCGTATGCTATTTAGATAGAAATAGGCGGGAGGTACTTTCACTGGGTTACCAGATATTGTTCCATTTCCCCCGTTATGGGTTTATTTATATTCACAGTACTTACATTCATACAAAAAACTTAATTGTTACCATAAAAAAAATGTTCTTTTATAATTCAGATGATTAATTAATTGCTCTTGAAAATACATTCTGTGACAAAAACTACGGGCGGAAACGGCGTACAAGAGAATTTGTCTGTACACGGGATGATATTACCCCGCGTCGTAAGCAATAATACAAGATGGGGCAGCAGCACTTTCCCGATGAAAACTTAAAATAAAAAAAAACTGCGGTGGCCAACCAGCATAACGCATATTTTCACGCAGACGTGGCAACTATGGCAAGTCATCCTATGAGGATATCTATGGAAGGCCTTTCTTAGGTGACTTATGGTTAGGTGGCTTAATCATGTTACCTAATGGTTAAGGTGGTAAAATGTTTTAGTTAATATACGTTGTAAAGCATCAACAAAGGATTTTTTTTTGTAATATGTTGGTATATAAAATAAAAACGAATGTTTTATAATATTCTATCTTAATTTACCATGCAGTGTAAAATTATCTGCTACCTCATATCATTCCATGGGTGGTGTATGAGGCGACATAGGGAAACATCAAAGAAGATAAACAGCAGCATTGTCCTGATAACAGCTAAATAATGGTTGACAACCCGCTTTCCAAGCGTTGAAACTATGCCAAATAACTATAATAATGTTTATGTTCAACAGTGGACTTTTGATAGACTGTAAAGATATATCGTCGTTGCAAATATAAAACCTCCTATGTGTCATTTTCTTTGAAAATAAGATTTTTAGATATTTTAGAAGCGATTTTGAATAGTTGCCTTTTGTAAAAACTCCCATGTGAATATCTTATTCCTTCACTGAAGTACGATTGATTTATAAAATATCTCAAGTGTCAGCCAACATTTAGTTGTTCATCAAAATCTCCTATGTGCCCAATGCACACATAAGAGGTTTTAGTAACAGTTTTATTTCAAAAACATGTAAACTCCTATGTGATACTCGGCACTGCATTCTGTCAAGTTTGCGCCTGTTTCTTAGAAAGAGAGCACAATGTTACGTCATGCATACATTAAAATTAGATGGTATTATTATTTGGTGTTATTAGATGGAATTAACGTGGTAGAGCCATGCTGCAGCTATATTAGTGGTATAGTTGTAGCACGAATGAGTTGGCTCGACCGGAGAATGACCACACTCACAGAATATCAGCGTAAAATAGCAGTTTAAAACTGCTGTGTTTCGATTGGTAAATGTAGAGAACCGGAGACCCTTTTTACTGGAAAAGAGGCATTCCAACTTAGTCCTCACAGGTGACAACGCATCTACATTTTGATTCGCAAACGAGGATAAATGTAGATGTCTATGGGTCACAGCAACCACTTTCCATCAGGTGGACTGTGTGCTCGTTTGTCACCCTATTCCTATAAAAAAAAGATGGGTAATAAATAGGGGTTAGGGTCATACGTCACTTGACATCAGTGCAGCTACAACTTGTCGCGTGCTAACACGGACCTCTTGTTTTTGCTATTATTCTATAGTTATTACGGTGTGCGAAATTAATAAAATACTGTGATAGAGTAAAATTAATTATATCTCAAATGGATAAAAGTATTCGTCGGGGATACCAAGGACACCTAAATGGTAAATTTTAGTTTCAAAACCTGAGTCATCTGCCGATAATGTCGACGAAGTTACAGCCGCCGCTACGGGGTCGAAGGAATTACCTTTGTATCTCGACGATTAATAACGCTGGAAGATTTTGAATTTGAAACTGCTGTACCTCCAAGATCACATTCACTCTTATTTTCGCGACCACCATCACCTGCTGCAGCTATTGAACGAATATCGTTAAGTAGCGGTGACTATGAAGTGCCGTTGGATATGTCTACTCGAGCTATCATACATTCCGTGCAGGTCTCTAATCAGGCAAGCAGCAGGTCAGCAGAGGATGAAAATTACGTCTTCACCACCACCACCATAAACCATGTGTTGAAAGACCTAAAAGAACTATGAAACCCCGTTGTTCACATACACAGTTGAATACAGATGCGAAATCTAAAAATTCATTTTTATGCGCGCTCATTACAGAAGAAGAACTTAAAACGACTCATTATTATTTCTGGAACCTCAAGACATGGGAAGAAAATAAAGCTATTGTAAAGGATGCTGCAGTTCGAAGAGGAATAAGACGTCGTCGGCGCAAAGTGAATAAATGCGATGAAAAATGCACCAAAGTCAAAATAGATTGTTCTTTTTAATTACACTTTATTTAGGTGAAGACAGTTTTAAGCGCTGGACCAAAGAATCAGACATGGTTAATGAAGATGTTGATATTAATGTTTTACCTGCTAATGGCCCTGAAAATAAATCAACTACAGATTATGAAAAATATACACATGTTGTTACATGTCCAAATCTATCCAAGTTTTTACAAACAGTAAAAACTTGGATAGATTTGGTTCCGAAAGTACCTAGTCATTATTATCGGGCTAGTTCCAGTAAGCTGTATGTTGAGTCTACATTTAGGTCTGAGAAACACATGCACGAAGTATTCGTTGAATCGTGTAGGATTAACAATTATCAAGCAGCAACCGACTTTCCTAAGGATTTTAAAGCAGGAAAATATAACCATTCACCATCCACGAAAAGATCAGTATGATACTTGCTATAGTTTTAAATCAGGTAATATTTCACAAAAAGAGTATGACGATCACATCAATAAGAATAATAAAGCTCGTCAAGCAAAAAAGATGCTTTCAATAAGATAGTTGTGATTACGGTAGATGTGTGTCTTGCTTGCACCTAAGCTTTTGGGGAGTGCCTTATATTATAAAACTTAAGTTACAGTGTCATAATTTCACCGTCTATGACTGCAAAACGAAAAAAGTTACTATTTACTTTTGGCATGAAGCTGACGGACTTGTATATTCTAATAAGTTTACTTCTTGTTTGATTAATTACCTAATGAACCTGGCCCCGGAAATTGAACGAGTCATTGTTATTTCTGGCGGTTGTAGCCACCAAAATAGGACCCGGTTATTATCCAGTACTCTGAGCGATCTATCGCAAAGAAGGAAACTCACAATTGAGCAGTTGTACTTAGAAAAAAGCCATACAATGATGGAAGTAAATAGTGTCCATTCAACAATTGAGTAGTATATCAAACCTCCAGTGACTATGTAGCTCGCATGCAGCAAGCTTGCCTAAAAAACCCTTACGATGTCAAGTCAATTCACTACGAATTCTTTCTCAACTACGAAAAACTTGAATTAAACCTCAAGTCTATAAGACCCGGCAAGAAAAAAGGAGATCCTGTTGTAGTAGATATAAGAGGGCTCAAATATTTGCCAGATGGATCTGTGTTATATAAATTGCGACACACTAAAGATTGGACTATCCTACCACAGTGAAGAGTTGCTTCTCGTGAAAGTTTGTTGCCGGAACGATTATATCAATTGCCACTTAAAATAACAGAGAGCAAACACAAACAGTTACAGGATCTGAAGAGCGTAATTGAAAAGGATTATCAACCATTTTATGATTCAATTTCATTTTTCCCAAGGACTTAGTTTGCACTTATTATTATTTAGTTAAGTACCAATTATTTCAAATTTGTATTTTGTCAAAATATGAAAGGTTACATATTCATATTTCATATTGTCATACTTTATCATAATTGATCTAATAAACGATACAAAAATACAAACTTTCGTTTTAATTAATTTCCTTTCAAAGCCTTCTATGTGACAAAAATCTTGCAATTAAAACCTCCCATGTGTAAATAAATAATTAAATAGGCTATAACGTCAGCTTCACTTACTAATACAAGAATATTCCTATGCATTTACATTTCAATTTCTAGTGTCGACTAAATAACCAATGGAACTTAAATGTTTTCAAAGAAAATTTTTCAGGGGGAAGTTTTTTGCGTTTTTCTAGGCAAGTTACTTTTAACACATGGGAGATTATAGATTTGCAACGACGATATATTCTATTTAAATGAAAATATATTGAAATTTAAAAAGGAAAAAGAACTAAATTTTGTGTACTTACACAACATTTAGAAATATTAACAATGTTACATTAAGTAAAACAAATGAAAACACAATTATATATTAAATATAATTCAATAAAATTAAAATAAACAAACGATTATTTATTAATTTTTCATCACAGTAATAAACAACAAATTTAACAAAATTTTTGTCTTCTTTCTAGAGCATTCGTTGTAATTCTTGGTTTGAGTAGCCTTAGAATTTCTCAAAAATATGCATTTGTAAACTTGATTTATACTTTTGCATGGCAGAAATTCTTGGGTGCTGGTCGTTAGAATCAGATTAGAAGGGAGTGTATATATATATATTATTTGCCTTGTATATAATATATTTTAATGGTATAAATAATAAGGTACAACTCCTAAACTATACTTAGATAGGTAATACTTATCTC